AACAGAATAGCAGGAAGGCACTCACAAGTGCGACATCTTTGCTTGAACAACTCCGACCAGCAAAGACTGGCACGTGCAGATCGTCTACCGGCGGACCCGGCGAAGAAAGTTGCTGACCTTGACTGTATCAACAGTTATATCCTTGACTGGAGTAAAACGCCGCACACGGCGTCACCTAGTCCAAGAGATGTTACACCTGCCGCTGAAAGAACATACTGGGAACGAATCTCAGATATGTGGCAGGACACGAACAACAACAGGGATATTGATATCCGTCTGTTTGTTTCAGTCAAGCAGTACTATTCAACTTTTTCTAATCTTGACCTATGGTTGGGTCCCACTGACAAAGATTGGCACAGCCCACTGGGCTTCACGATACAACCAATCCTTACAAAAGGGAAACACAACCGGTCAGATGCCCAGGTCCAGAAGATCGCTGACAAGCGAAAGGCTTACAAGCAGCGTAATGCTGAATACTGGGGTTACAACGATTAATTCGTTTACTCATCCGGCAACAGCTGGTACGACAAATCGCAACCATCAGGTAGCCATCACAGATATGGAAGATTCTGGGAGTGGCCACAGCCTGAACGTCCCAGCGCGCCTGAAGGTCCTCCTCCAAGAAGGAACCAGGAATCATCGTCCTCTTCACAACAAGATCTACCAAGATCAAGGTCCAGGCCTCAAAGAACCAATATTGTTGACAAGCTCAACATGTCTTTGGAAGAGCTGGATGGACTAGAAGAAGAACCGTCACCAACAAAAAGTGACATCGAAGAACACGAAAGAGAAACATCAAACTTGCTGTCTGCTCAGAGAGATGAAGAGGAACAAGAGGACGAATCCTCCAGTCGGAGAAGAAGAAGGAAGGCATCGCGTCCACCGTCTGCTCCGAGCGGCAAGGCACTCAGAACAGCTGCAACAGCAGCGGGGTTGTCGGGCTGGTTCGGACACCGCAACCGAGGTGGAGCAAACGCAGAGTCTATCAAGACTGATGAAACTTCACTTCCAAACTCACTAACCAGTGAGCAGGACTTCTCCGTCTTCAGCATCGCGTGGAATGTGTTTCTGCTGCTAATGGGCTTACACTGGCTGTGGAAGCAGATTACCAGGCCTCCTATCAGATGTATGGAGCGCCAACAACCAAAATCAAAAGCAGCAGCGAAACAAAGAGTTCCATTCCTCGAACCCGAGGATGAACCGCAGACGCGTGAACCTTTAGGACCCAACAGGGTCAATTCCGGAGAAACAACTGATCTGCGACCTATTTGGCATACTTCCCGAAGCGAAGTCTACCATCTCTCAGACAGCTGTTACCAGCTAAAGCAAGCAAGAGATGTTTGCAGGAAGGTGCTGTGCAAAAACTGCCTTCATGCAGTACAAGTTGCGGAGATTCGCAGGAATGATCCTTTCCAAAGAGGTGATACACGACCACGTGGCACCGAAAGAGACATTGAGCGCTTCCAGACCTACGATGATGCAAGTAACACTCCTCATATGACACAATTATTCAAAGATGCCTTGCATGCACAAATGGCCGAAGAAGCCATGCAGATTACCTATACATCGATTCCCAAGGGATCCTCGGCAAAGGCCAGAGGTACATCTGCACTCTCAAGTGCCGCATCGTCATCAGCGCCCAAGGCAATGCCACCAGGGCCTAACAAGGCAAACATATCACCTCCACCTAAGAGTCCTCCGCCAAAGGCAAAAGGAACAGTACCTTCTGCTCCTCCGAGACCAAAAGGTCCTACCAGAAGAGGAGGTCAAAATCGGCGTATTCAACGAAAGGCAGCCAGAGAAGCCCACAACAGTGGACTCTGCACTTATGCAGACGCTGCACTTGACGAAGCCAATCAAGGCCAGGCAATTAACGTTACGTGCCGAAACATAGTATCAAGACATGTCAGCTCTATCGATGCAACGGTAGAAGCAGCCGGCCAGTTTACACAACGCGTGCTACAGCACGTAGAAACATATGATGAAGAGGAACCGTGGAGCACGGAGTTCCTACCAGTCGTGGAAGTCCTATTCAGGAACTTAAGCGGCGACGAAACAACTGTCAGACATGACAATCAAACGGTAACTATGCCTCTTGCGAAATACACAGACCTCCTCAGAATCGCACAATCATTGCGAAGCTCTATCCAGAGAGACAAGGAGGAAAGGAAGGAACATCTTGACACCATCCAAGATACTCTATCCAGAGTGGAAATCCTTCTAACAGCACTGAAGGACTCAAGGACAGTCTTTAACCAATTGGTCCATTCCTCACTAGCGA